GGTTAACTGTGCCATGATGGTTGTTTTTATGGTTGATGGAAATCATAGCTTAAAGGGACTTTTTAATTGTTTCCTTCCTTTGAACTTTGTGTGTTGCATCTGGAATCATGAAACCTTGTCCTCAAGGAGGGAATGTTCAGGACAGTTCAAGCTCAGAGACCTTAGGTCCCTTCACCTAAAATGTATAGCATCTTCAGAAATAGAGAATTTCATTTTACTGCTTGGATGGAGACAAACGTGGTAGTAGCAATAGTTTGCAATGTTTTGGTAGTCTCTTAGACAGCTCTAAAAACTTAAAAAAGGATCTCTTATGGCTGACATTGAGGTTTTTGTTAGATGGTTATTATCTCTTCAATGGATTGTTAGCACAGATGAGAAAATATATAGATATATATATATATTTGGTTTTTCGAGACAGGGTTTCTCTGTGTAGCTTTGCGCCTTTCCTGGAACTCACTTGTTAGCCCAGACTGGCCTCGAACTCACAGAGATCTGCCTGGCTCTGCCTCCCGAGTGCTGGGATTAAAGGCGTGCGCCCCCACCGCCCGGCCGAAAATATTTTTTAAATTATATATGTAGATGTCTATTCAGACTTACATATTTTATCACATTTGGGTGTGAGGGAATAGTTAATAGTGAGATTCTTTATGATTTACTTAGACATCCTTACAATACTGTCTTTTGCTATTTAATTCCAACAGTGCAGACGGCTAGGGCTGGAAGGAATTCTGACTTTTTTGTTGTTATACTTGGGTATGCTGAGAATGGAATCCAGGGCCTTGCATGAGCCACGCAAAAGTTCTCTGCCTTTGAGCCACACCACCACACCCAATGCTCATATCTTAGTAAGCGAGTGTGTCCTGAGGGACAGGGGGGAAATTGTGGCTCCAGTCCTCAGGCCCCTCTACACTGGGGCCATGTCATGTGCCATGTGCCATGGCACCAAATGACCAAATGCTACCTCGTTCCTCTGGTGTCTGGCCAGGATATGTGGTGCGGTTTTGGTTTAGCAACATTTCACATCTCCTTTCGTTTCGTTACGACACAAAAAGTGAAATAAATAGCACACTACTACTGTCCCTGACTTCCCAGATGCAGAAACAGAGTGGCACCTAAGAATGTCACTCAAGGGGTTGAAGATTTAGCTCAATGGTAGAGCGCTAAAAGCCCTGGGTTCAGTCCTCAGCACTGAAAAAAAAAAAAAGAAAAAAAAAGAATGTCCTTCAAAGCCGGGCGGTGGTGGCGCACACCTTTAATCCCAGCACTCGGGAGGCAGAGGCAGGCGGATCTCTGTGAGTTCGAGGCCAGCCTGGTCTACACAGCAAGTTCTAGATCAACCAGAGCTGTTACACATAGAAACCCTGTCTTGGAAAACCAAAGCCAAATCAACCAACCAAACAAAAAACACTGTGCAAACATGAGGGCCTGGGTTCAAATCCCTAGAACTCATGTAAAAAGTAGGACTTGGGTCCTTACACCTGTAACCCCAGCACTGTGTGGGGAGGAGACAGGAGGGTCGGTCACTGGGCCTTCCTGACTGCCCAGCCTAGATCCAGATTTAGTGGGAGACCTTGTCTGAAGGGAATAAGGTGGGAAATGATAGAAAAATACATCCAATATCCTTCTCTAGTCACACACACACACACACACACACACACACACACACACACACACACACGACAGCCTAAAGCAACCAGTGACTCCTTCTTTAACCAGTCTGGGGTAGGTCCCAGGTTCTGTACAAACTCAAGTTCATAGGCATGCTCAGATGATGGCAGAGATGTGTTATGAGTTTGCCTGCCAGAAAAGAACTCCACAGTCTTGGGAGACCCTATAAACTCATCATCGGTAATGGCAATGCCTATGACAGCCCTGTCCTGGGCTGGCAAGGTAAGTCATACCCCTGTGCCACCTCTCCCTGTGTAGAGGTACAGGCTGGCCCCCAGAGCCCAGTGCTCTCCTGTCTGCTGGCCTAAATGGATTACTTCCAACCTCTCCCCAGCCTCAATTTCCCTGTCTGGGAAGTGGGTGGAGCCAGCCTCTCATCTCAGGCGCACAGGGGCCCCGTGATGCCCTGTTTGATTACAAAGTGGATTAAAAGGCTTGGTCACTTGATACAAGTAACTCTATCCTGCACACAGATAGTTTCAGTGGGAAGCAGCCTGGGGTGGCCTCTCACCAGTCTCCCACCCCTGAGCAAGGCTTCCTAGGCTGTCTCTGGGAAAATGGCTGTAATGGGCTGACTATAGGGCTCATGGACAGGGCCAAGTAGAGCCCATGATACTCAGGTGCCAAACCACCCCGATCCCACCAACACTGGGCCGCTCTTGGGAGCCTGTGTCTCTGAATGCAAGAGGGTCCTGCTGTGGCTAACGTCCAGTCGCCTCCCATCCCATGTGCATTCAGGTAGAGGAAAAGTGTGAACCGACCCTTGGAGAGTGACTGGGAAGGCTAGTGTCACTATGTACCTTGTAAGGCTCACTGGGACCCCTGGGCTCAGCTCAGAAAATGTCAGGCCACCACCTCTACATTAGGTGAGGTTT